GCAAGATGGGTCTGTCTTCAAGAATTCTGGGATCAAGTTCCTGCTGCATCTGATTCTTCTGGAAAGCAGTCTACTTAAGTTATGGCAGCAAATATGTCCACTTTTGACGCCTTAAAAAATCAAGGTGAAGTCAGTAAAAATGTCTTGTCAGCGTTTGGCTTAATAGATGATCAGGTTTCAGGGCCACCCAGTGCTCCGCAGAAGACCATTCAGGAACACCTGACAGCATTGCTTCCTCTTCGTCATCAATTCACCCACCAGGAGTTCAGCCACAGCAGCCACCATATACAGGAGTGCAGACACAAGCAGGTCAGTTGTACCAACAGTACCAGCAACAGGCCGGTTATGGTGCTCAGCAGCCACAGGCTCCACCTCAGCCTCCACAACAGTATGGTTGGTATTCAGTATTCAGCAAGCTATAGTCAGCAGACTGGACCTCAGCAACCTCAGCAGTTCCAGGGATATGGCCAGCAACCAACTTCCCAGGCACTACCTCCTGCCTTTTTGGTCAGCCTCAACAACTGCCTGCTCAACCTCCTCAGCAGTACCAGGTGAGCAATTATCCTCCACAAACTTATACTACCCAAACTTCTCAGCCTGCTAATTATACTGTGGCCCCTGCCTCACAACCTGGAATGGCACCAAGCCAACCCGGGGCCTGTCAAGCAAGACCAGATTTTACTTCACCTCCTGGAAGTACCATGACCCCTCCTCCCAGTGGGCCTAATGCTTATGCACGTAACCGTCCTGCATTTGGTCAGGGCTATACCCAGCCTGGACCTGGTTATCGATAACGAGGCTCAGCTACACTGATGAATGTAGCAGTTAGCTATTTGCCTCCTAAAAGACTCCAATACTACTATTTTATTTTAATTTGTATTGAAGTTCAGAAATTTAAAAAGCAGAGCATTTTTTATGATATCATTATTGCTGTTAATTGAAAGTATAATTTGCTGGAACACAAAAAAAGACCAAAATGGAAAAGTTATGCCAAGAAATTGGAAGATAGATACCTAGTCAGCTGACTGGAAGAGATCCATATTTGTGCCCATTCCAAAGAAAGATGATGCAACAGAATGCAGAAATTATTGAACAATATCACACACAAGTAAAATCTTGCTGAAGATCATTCAAAAGGTGTTGCTGCAGTACATCAGTAGGGAACTGCCAGAAATTCAAACTGGATTCAGGAGAGGATGTGGAATGACGGATATCATTGCTGATGTGTTTTATTAACTATGCAAAGGCATTCGGCTCTGTGGATCATAACAAATTATGGATAACATTGTGAAGAATGGGAATTCCAGAATACTTAATTGTGCTCATGAGGAACCTGTACATAGACCAAGAGGCAGTCGTTCAGACAGAACAAGGGGATACTGCATGGTTTAAAGTCAGGAAAGGTGTGTGTCAGGATTGTATCCTTTCACCATACTTATTCAATCTGTATGCTGAGCAAATAATCCAAGAAGCTGGACTATATGAAGAAGAACATGGTATCAGGATTGGAGGAAGACTTATTAACAACAGTGATATGCAGATGACACAACCTTGCTTGCTGAAGGTGAAGAGGACTTAAAGCACTTACTGATGAAACTCAAAGACTACAGTCTGGATTACACCTCAACATAAAGAAAACAAAAATCCTTACAAGTGGACCAATAAGCAACATCATGACAAATGGAGAAAATATTGAAGTTGTCAAGGATTTCGTTTTACCTGGATCCACAATTAACGCCCATGAAAGCAGCAGTCAAGAAATCAAATGACATATTATAATTGTGAGCAAGTCTGCTGCAAAAGACCTTTTTAAAGTGTTAAAAAGCAAAGATGTTACTCTGAGGACTAAGGTGCGCCTGACCCAAGCCATGGTATTTTCAACTGCCTCTTATGCATATGAAAGCTGGACATGAGGAAGACTGAAGAAGAATTTATGCCTTTGAATTATGGTGTTGTTGATGAATATTGAATAAACTATGGACTGCCAGACGAACAAACAAATCTGTCTTGCAAGAAGTATAGCTAGAATCCTTCTTAGAAGCAAGGATGGCAAGGCTTTGTCCCATGTACTTTGGACATGTTATCAGAATGGACCAGTCCCTGGAGAAGGACATCATGCTTAGTAAAGTAGAGGGTCAGGGACGAACAGGAAGACCCTCAATGAGATGGACTGACACAGTGGCTGCAACAATGGGCTCAGTCATTTAAAAAAAAAGAAAAAAAAAACCTGTGAGGATGGCACAGGACTGGGCAGTGTTTCCTTGTGTTGTACACAGGGTTGCTATGAGTTGGAACCATCTTGATGGCACCTAACAACATAACAGCAACAACAACACCATATTTAATGATAAAAGACAGTGCTTTCTCCCTAATATCAGAAATAATAAAAGGATGTCTGCTCTTACTACCTCTATTCAACGTTGTATTAGAAGTTATGGCCATGCAGTAAAGGAAGAAAAGAAAATCAACAGCATCCAGATTGGAAAGGAAGAAGTAAAACTCTTTATCCCAGACAACATGATTGTCTCTGTAGAAAATATGGAATTTACAAAAAAGCTACTAGAACTAATAAACAGGGTGTTTATCCTGTTGCCGTCACATCTATTCCAACTCATAGTGACCCTATAGGACAGAGTAGAACTGCCCCATAGGGTTTCTAAGGAGTGTTTAGCAGCCAAGCCCTTAACCACTGTGCCACCAGGGCTCCAATAAGGGTGCTTAGTAAGCTTGTAATATAAAAATAAATGCTTATAAAAATAAATGCTTATTTCTATGTCTAGCAACATACAACTAGAAGTTGAAAGAAAATTCTTTAAAATACCATTTACAATAACATCAAAAAATATTAAGTAATTAAAGATAAGTATAACAAAAGATGTGTTAAGACCTGAAAACTACAAAACATTGTTGAGAGCAATTAATGACCTAAATAAATGGAGAAACATATTTTGCTCATGTGTTGGAAGATTTAATATTGTTAAGATGTCCATCCTTCCTGAATTGATCTATAGATTTAATGCAATCCCAATCAATCCCAGCCGAATTTTTTTTGTAGAAATTGACGTGATTCTAAAATTCATATGGAAATGAAAACAACCTATAATAGCCAAAACAACTTCAAAAAAGTAGGAACAGAGTTGGAGATCTAATGCTACTTTATCTGAAGACTTATTATAAAGCTATAATAATCAAGACAGGATGGTATTGGTGTTAGGATAGAGAAATAATGGAACAAAATTAAGAGTCTAGAAACAGATTCACATGTATATGGACAACTCATTTTTTATAAATGTCCAAAAGCAATTCCTTGAAGACAGAATAGGATTTTAAAAAAATGGTGCTGGAACAATTAGATATCCATATATACAAAAAAATGAACTTGAATCCTTACCTTGTACTATATTTTAAAAAAATAATAATACCTGAAAATGGATTATAACCTAAATGTAAAACCTAGAAATACAAAATGTTTAGAATAAAATAATTAAAAATCTTTATATCACCTTGGATTAGACTGAGATAACTGAGCTATGACACCAGAAGCATGGTCCATAAAAGAATAAATGGATAAACTGGATTTCATCAAAATTTAAAACTTCTGCTGTTTGAAAGACATTGTTAAGAGATTGATAATACAAGCCAAAGACTAGGAGAAAATATTTGCAAAGCATCTAGCTCATAAAGGATTTATATCCAGCATATTATCAGAATTCTCAAAAGCCAATAATAAGAAAACAAAGAACCCAATTTAAAAACTGGGCAAAATATCTGGACAGACACTTTAAATAAGAGATACGGATGACAAATACGCCCATGAAAAGATGTTCAATATTGTTAGCCATTGAGGAAATGCAAATTGAAACTACAATGGGTAACTACTACACACCTATTAAAATGGCTTAAATTTAAGTCTGACCATGCCAACTGTTGGTGAAGATATAGAGAGACAGGAACACTCCTACTGCTGATGGAGTGTAAAATTGTAGAATCTCTTTGGAAACAGTTTGGTAGTTTCTTATAAAGTTAAGCATATAGTTATACAATCCGACCATTCTACTGCAAGTCGTTAAGAGAAAAGAAAGCATATGTCCATACAAAGACTTGTACACAAAGGTTCATAGCAGCTTTCTTTGTGAGAGTGAAAGTCTGGAAACAACCTAAATGTCCATCAACAGAATGAACAAACTGTCATCTACTCATACAGTGGAGTACTACTCAGCAATACAAAGAAATAAACTATTGACACATACAGCAACATGCATGAATCTCAAAATAATTATGCTTAGTGAAAGAAGCCAGATAAAACAAGAGTACATAGTGTATGATTTGATTTATATAAGGAAGCCCTGGTGGCATAGTGGTTAAGTGCTATGGCTGCTAACCACAAGGTCGGCAGTTCGAATTTATATAAAATTCTAGAAAATGAAACTAATCTATGGTAACAGAAAGGAGTGTGGTTGTTTCGGGCAGGGCAGGGGAGGCCCTCAGCGAGGAGTGAGAGCATGACCACAAGTCAGGACGAGGCCACTCTGGGCTCATGGACATGTTCATTATCTCGATTGTGGTGATGGTTTTCCTGGTATATGTGTATGTCAAAACTTACATTGTAGACTTTAAATATTTGTAGTTTACTGTATGTCAACCATACCTCAGTACAGCTGCCTTTTTTTCTTTTTTAAGCAATGGCATCCTCAAGGATGTTTAGAGTGAATAGCTTTTAGATTTGGTAGTGAGAAAGTCTTTAGTGACTGGGGTGGAGGCAGTTCCTGATGAGTGAAGGTTTTTCCTCTCAGTTGAAGGTAATTGCCGAAATGAAATCGACTCGATGGCAGTGGGTTTGGTTTTTTGGTATTATACACATCCAATTGGCATTATCAGTTATTTATTGAACACTCACTTGTTTGTATTTTTTATTGTAGCAGGACTCTTTATGTAAATACGGAAAATTAAGATTTTTTTAAAAAATTTACCTGTTTTAATTGTTGTTTTGTTTCCCTCAGATTTGTGTGGCTATTTGGAGGAAGAAGATGAAAGTACCACTGTTCAAAAATTTGTAGACCACCTGCTCCATAAAGATGTGGTAGATTCTGGGATGTTGGGGGATCTTGGAGGGAAGGAAAAAAACCAAGACAAGCAGCAGCAGAAGGATCCTCGTCTTACCATGGAGATGAGACATAAGCAGGTGGGAGGGAAAAACAAAATTAAAATGATAAGAGGAAGCAGTCTTTGTGAAGCAGATTTAGTAAGCTTAAATAAAGACTTAGACTTTATTATGAAAAAGGGTGCCATCTGTGGTTTGGTTAGAAAGAATAAAAATAAAATATAAGAACTTCAGAAGAAAAATGATGCTCATAGACTGAGGGTAGGAAGCAGTTTATTTAAGAATAACCAAAAAAAGGAAGAATTGACAAAGTGGTGAGCTAAACTGTGTTAGTTTGGATGTGGCACTTCCTATTATAAATATGTAGATGGGGTTTTGCTTTAATTCAGTTTTTAAATTGTGACATTATATTAATATCATGAATATTCTGGTGAATGTTATAATTCTCTTTTAGACAACTGAAATTCACTCATTTTGTGATTATAGTTTGAAAGAGAGGACAGATCTAAATTACATCTAGTTCAGCTGTTTTGTATTAGAAAGGCATGTGGGAAATTTCTTTTCTCCAAAGGGAAGAGTAGGTTATAGGAAAAAGACTGGTATCTCAACACCCTGTAGAGGAGCTTTAGGGAATTAGAGTGACTAAGTCTTTGCCATAATGTCCAGAACCAAGACTGAACTGGAATTAATGCCTATACGTGTGTGTACTGTCTTTTTGTAACACTGAATTTTTGATTGCCAGGTTTGAAAAATCAGTGCTTTAAACCATCAGGTGTGCCTAATCTCACACACAGGCTGGTGGGGAAACAGAGGTAAAAGTATGACCCTGGTTTGAATGTTTGTCAAGTGGGAGAAGAGAGGCTTCATAAGAGATAGCTGTTGTCTGGAGGTCAGATCACAACTGGAGAGCAAGAAGAACAAACCTAAGTGAAGCGGAGAGGAAAGGACCACTCAATTTATAGCTAGTCATGCCTCTGAACAATTAATAGGTTTGAAAAAGTGAATGTGCTTGTTTTCTGAATTTTATGTCTTTGATTTCCAAAATAAAATCACTGTTGTATTTAAATAATAAAAGATACAAATAAAGGCTGTGATGTTCCTGAAAGCAGTATATGACTGTTGTAACCTTCACAATATAGCCTCCAAAAAAAACCCTATTCTTTCTTAAATTATGATTAGTGTACCGACAGGGTGTGAGTAATAGCAGTAATATACACATTGAAAATTCTTGTGGGTGGGTAATTATTACTAAATAAGAATCCGGAACTTGAGATCGACCCATGAGATTCTCAACTTTTCCATGATGCAGATCATTCCCAGATCATTTTAGAGTCTATCTTACCTGACTTCAGCTAAAATTTTGTATTGGCCCTTACCCAGTTAACAAATGAATTAATTGCCTCCGTTCTACTAACAGCCGGGTTCTGTGCCAGAGTGTGTCAAACCGTGTGTTATGAACTGCAGTGTGCTCTGAGGTTTTGCATATCCCTTTTTACTTGAAAGGCTGCATTTCACCATTGTTGTGAGTGGTTAAGGGCTCAGTTGCTAATCGAAAGGTCGGCAGTTCGAATCCACCAGCGGCTCTGCGGGAGAAAGATGCTGCAGTTTGCTTCTGTAAAGATTACAGCCTTGGAAACCCTATGGGGCATTTCTACTCTCTAGGGTTGCTATGAGTCAGAATCAACTCGACAGCAGTGGGCTTAGTTTTTTGGGTTGTATTCTCTCTTTCAGGTGAAAGAAAATCGCTTAAGACGTGAGAAAGAACTAGAGCGCCAGAGAATCGAAAAGGCCCTGAGAAAATGGGCCTTCTTAGAGGCTCAGTGTCTGGTGCAAGAAGAGAAGAAAAGGAAGGCTCTGGAGGCCAAGAAAGAGGAGGAGGAGATCCAGAGGGAGATGGTGAAGCTGCGGAGAGAGATCATTGAGAGGAGATGCACTGTGGAAGAAGCATGGAAAACGTAAGCCAGCCCTGCTGAGCAGTGTGGGGTTTTCTGTTTAGGCAGTCATTTTGGAGTGCTCTGAAGTTTTTAAAATGCACATTGCAATGGTAAAACACAAAAGAGGAATCACCTACTATTCTACTATCTTAACAAATTAACTTCATTTTTCCTTGTTTCTTCCTGGTCTTGGTTCCTTTACATACTAGTTGCAATCATGAAGTGTATTTAATTTGGTATTCTGCTTGTTGTAATTAACACATTGCCTGGAGCCCTGAGGTCTATATATTACTCCATTGAGTTCCCATACCATAATTTATGTAATGAACCCCTCCCCATACTAGTAAGCATTTAGGCTATTTCAGATTTTTCACTAATTATTATTGCAATGAGCATCCTTAAACAGAGCTTCTTCATTCTTTCGAGTTATAGTCTTAGGATAAATTCTTAGGAGTGTAATTACTGAATTAAATGGTATGAGCGTTTCTATGACTCTTGGAACACTGCCAAATTGCTTTCCAAATGGGTCTTACTGATTTACACTACTGCCAACAGTCGACCAGTTTGCCACTCTTCCCACCATTGGGGAGTATCATCATTTTCAATATTTCTGCAATTTTCATAGGTGTAATATTGATTAATTTGCATGTCTTTGATTCCTTGAACATTATGAGGTTGAACATTTTTATTTTTCCTTATGCATGTTTGCTAATTGTGCTTTGTCCTATTGTGAATTGCTTCATTGTTTTGCTTTCTAAATGCATACGAAAAGTCACCATTGCCTTCCTGCCCACTAATAAAGGAAAAAAGAATATCTGACATAAGAGGAAAATCGAAATAGTCCTCACAGGATATAGCATTATTATCCATCCTCCATGGAGAAAATGAGCTTCATAAATGAAATAACTGATGTATTTATTCTGAGAAACAGCACTGTTGCATGAACTGAAAAAGCCTTGGAACAATGTGTCTGAAGTGCCTGAGTCCTCAAACTGAGAGGCCAGACAGACCTATTAGCTAATCCCTTCCACCGCCGTCAGTGCACACAGCTTTCTCCCCTGTGTTCTTGATTGCTCTTATCCTACCCAGTTTAAAACAGCTCGGTCGTGGACACGCGCTTCACTCTTTCAAGTGCCAAGCTCAGGCCTCCTCCAGACACCAGTCCTTTCAGAAAGCAATCACCAGTGTTTTAGTGAGTTCTTGCTAAGGTCAGCCTTGCTTTTCAGATTGCTCCTAAGCCCTGAAAAACCTAGGCTGACCTAAAATAAACTGTGAAAACAAGTAACGTGATGGTAGCAGAAGGCTCTGCTCACAGTGGGCACTCAGCATATGCGCACTGACCAGTCATTCATTTAAAATCAAAATCTTGCCCATGGTTATGGTGACACCGGTAATTTGCTCTACTTCTGGGCATATTAACTGATCTTATCTTTCCAGATGGCAATTTGGCAATAAACAACAAGAGCCATAAAAAGTGTTCTATCCCTTAGCCTGGGAATTCCAGTCCTAGAAAAATTGTCCTAAGAGAATGATCAGAAATCCAGGCAAAGATTTATGTACACAGATAATTACCGTCACCTAACATATAATACCAGACATTAATAAATATTAGGGAAATTAGTAAATAATTGTTGAACAATGAAACAGCAGTGACATGTTATCAGTGTTTTTTCCTAGGTGGAATGTGGTTTTATACCTCTCCAGTTTTTCACAATGACCACATATACACTTTCATTAAATACACATTTTAATGTTATTTTTAAAAATCAGATCCATGGTGTTAGAACTGTGTTTCTTTAAATGCCCACTGTAGTCTGCCTATAACCATGTAATATAACATAGTTATGACATTAGTAAGTTTGAGGAGAGGCAGTAAAATTTTATTGTTGGTAGGGCTTTTTAACTTATTTGTAAGCTATCCTTAAAAAAAAAAAAATTGCCCTTGAGTCAATTCCGACTCATAGCCACCTTATAGGACAGGGTAGAACTGCCCCATAGGGTTTCCAAGGAGCGGATGGTAGATTTGAACTGCTGACCTTTTGGTTAACAGCAAAGCTCTTTAACACTGCACCACCAGGGCTCGGTAAGCTATCCTATATCTGCTTTATAGTATAATTTCTAAGTATCTCCTCCAAGATATTTATTAGTTACAAAGTGAGAGATTGTAACTTTACACACCCAGCAGATGTGACCTTAACCAAGTCATCAAGGTTAACATCATCAGTAACATTGTATACCCCCTATATGAGATATGGGAGACTATCTATAGCATATTCTGATATTCCTCTCTCAGTTTGAGTTTCTGTAACTGTAAAATAAAGTTCAGAGAGATTGGGTGACTTGCCTGAGGTTTCATTGCTGGTTTATGACCAGATCCCATGAATCCTAATTCCTAGTCTGGTACTGTCTTCACCACATCAGTAATTGTATGTATTTTATACATATACCAACCAAAAACCAAAACCATTGCCGTCGAGTCGATTCCAACACATAGCGAACTTATACGACAGAGTAGAACTGCCCCATAGGGTTTCCAAGGAGCTACTGGTGGATTTGAACTGCTGACCTTTTGGTTAACAGCCATAGCACTTAACCGCTGTGCCACCAGGGCTCCTTTATACATATACACATATCGATATAGTTAAAAACACTAAAATAAAAAGGCATTGCCGTCCAGTGGATTCTGACTCATGGTAGCCTTGCGTTGGAATTGACTGGACAGCAACTGATTTGGCTTTGGATTTAGCTATAAGCTTGCTTGAATTCATGAGTGAAAGAGGAATGGCCTGAACAAGAAACAACAGATAGGTGGGTGAAAGAGAGAATGGCTAGAAAGATATGTCCATGAGCAACAAGTTACTAGGAGATTCTGATTACAGGCAGTGCCCAACTGACGATGTGTTGGAGTTACAGCAAACGGCACTCAGGAGCGTCTGTTTTTGTTTTTTTGTTTTGTTTTCTTACCATTAGTAATATGTACTACATACAATGTTGCAGCGTGTAATTTGCTCATGTTCTCATTCTCAGATGTTCAGTCCTGCTTGTTCTATAATTTACTGTTCAAAATACTGCCATATAGCAGTCTGTGGCCTGGTCTACAGTGAAGTCGGTGTTGGTGTCAGAGGTCATAATGGGTAGAAAGTTGGGCAATGTTCAACTCTTAGGACAGTCAACAATTGAACTGGGCATGCACCCAACAGCTGTTACAACTCTGACTTCATTGTTATGACACTGATGCCTGCTTCATTGCAGACCAGCCCTATAGCCTGATCTTATTCAGCATTTCGTACCATCAGAAACATCAGTTGTTAATTTCATCGTTGGAGTAAATTTTAATGATTTTATGATTTGTGTTTTTTTATGTATGTATTTATTAAAATATATCTGTAAGTTTATATGTAATGTTTCCAAGCCCCAAAGATACTGATTTTTAAAAAAGGCAATAATAAGGAAAACTAAAAAAAAAAATGAGATATTCAGCTTACATCAGAACCGACTTATGACGGAGTAGTCGGAATGGAACCCCGTTGTCGTAAGTTGGAGACAATCTGTACTTCCTGGAGCCTTTTCCTTATTGTCATTAGGTTCTATTTTTTTCTATTTTCAGCTATTTTTGAATTATTCTAGATTCTATCCTATCTTTAGTCATTAACACCTGATTCTTTTAATTTTCTCCCTAGAAACCTTGTAAAAACCTTGTGGTAAGACTCTCATTCCTTTCTTACTTGATGATCGTCCTCCCTCCCCCTTATAAGAAAAGAAAGAATTCATGTGTATATTAGAGAATACCTAGTAGCCATTAACTCTCAAATCTTAATCGAATATTGTTCTTTGTTAAACTCAATGAAAATACTAAAATATCTATATGGCTTTCTACATTTAAAGTGCTTTATAGCAATTTTATTTCATTTAATCTCTATTTTATAAGGAATAAACCAAGTCTCCAAAAAGCAAAAGAAAATCACCCTACTACATGGTTTTAGAGCCAGATCTAGAAAAAACAAACCTAAACCTATATCTTCTGATGGAGAATTTAGTGTCATTTCACTCTCCCAGATTATGATTACTTATTGTTAAGTAGTAATAATAATAATAACTTATTGTTATGGACATGTGTATTTTTAAATTATTATTAATAGAGAGAGGAAAAAGCAAGAAGAAAATTCTCAAAGGAAGCCAGAAAAAGACATGTTTGAAAGTGCTCATATTCCTCTGGATGAAGAAAAGATGGCAAAAGAAAGAAAGAGGAAACTGAAAGCGTTATTAATCCAACTTTCCAAGGAAAATCACAAGGTGGGAATTTTAACATCTCTTTTTTCAGCATTCTGTAGTGTAAATGACAAGGAGCTCCATCAGAGATGAGGCAGAGTAAACCCGAAGCCCAGCTGAGCCTCATCACAAGTAACAAAATTGCCCACACTGTTCATTCTGTGCTGCTTAGCTGACCTAATGAACGGGTAGACCTCCAATCCCCGTTTCTGGACCTAGTCTTTATATACTCTAGTATGATCCTGGGAAATTAGGGGATGAATTTGGGATTTCTTCCTAAATTATCCTCTTCAAATAGCATGTAAGGTAGCTCCCTGATAGTTTTTGAAAGCTTGGCTTCCCCTTTGGACCTTAAGGATCCAGAGTCTTAAGGATCTTCTGGATTATTTACGAGATACAAACACTGGTTATTTGCCTTGCGGTAGCTCAGATCCTAAAGCAATGATACATTTACATTTGTGCTTCTCCTTTTAATGGTCTATGTTTATCTTACTCTTCTCTCTTTTACTTTCTCTTCCTGTGAAAGTAATTGGTCAATTTGTTATTGACAATGAGTATCCTCCCTAGGCCACTTAAGCAGAATAAGGTTTTTCAGTCAAGTGGGATTGGTAAAAGCATGAATTTGGGGCCTATGGCATTTTAGGTAAAAGGAATAACTTGGAGAATATGTAAATTAGAAAATTGGCTGAGAAAAGATGAATGTATATATTTTTATATCTCCTACAATGTCCACCCCAGGGCCTTAGGCATTGCTAATATTCAGTGAAAGTGAATGGAATGAATGCTTGAATGAATGGATTTCACAAGAGAAAAAATGTTAGGAAGACATTGAAGGAATTTATTAAATGTTAAAAAGAGACTTACAAAGGCCCTGGAGATCAGTAACAGAAATTTGAATCTGAAATGAATACCTGAGATATGAGGAAGGAAATGAAATAGTCAAAACAACTAAAAAAAAGACATGACTGATAGTGGCATGTTAGACTCAGCAGCAGGAAGTCCTAATTGTTCGGATTAAACAAGTAGAGTTTGGTCAGAGTTTTTGCTTTAAAAATTGAGAGGGATGTGTGGTAGGAAGAAATGTTAAGAGTTGGGAGAAAGACTGGCAAGGTCTCTCAGATGCCACGTCCTCCATGAGGGATGGAGTTCATGTGTCCTCTTGTAGATACTGTTCAGATTTTAAGAAAAAATAGGAAGGGAAATGAGTATTCAGGGGACCATCTTAAGAAGGCAGAAGTGCCATGATATCTCCTTACCCAACCAGTAAGAGACAGATCAGACTTATGCTCCCAATCAAATTAATTTTCTAATTTTATCCAAGTCTGCTATACAAGAAGAAACCATGTATGCTGTAGATAGAACTGCTAGATACAAACTGTTCAACATATACACAGAGTTTTATCAAATTAGTGGCCTACCTACAATAGATTACTCAGTTTTAAAAGGGCCATTGGGTATGTTCATGAATATAATTACAAATAAATTATCTCCGCTTGGCTATAGATTTTGCTTGATTTGAACCTATACTTTATTATTTTTAAGTTTTATTTTTAAACTAATTTTAGACATACAGAAAACTTGCAAAGATAGTACAGAGTTCCTGAATACTCTTCATCTAGCTTTCCCCAAGGTTAACATCTTACATCCAAACCAAAAACCAAACCCACTGCCATCAAGTCGATTCCAACTCACAGCAACCCTACAGGACAGAGTAGAACTGCCCCGTAGGTTTCCAAGGCTGAAATCTTTACAGA